AACCCGTAACGTACTAACGTACGTACGTACGTCTACCTACACTACGACGACGACGTACCTACCGTACGTTACGTTACGTACGTACTACTCTCTCTCTCTCTCTCTCTCTCTCTCTCTCTCTCTCTATATATATATATATATATATATATATATATATATATATATATACAAATTTCCTGATCACATTAAGTGTGCACCTGTTAAATACCTTCTTGAAGTCATGATGCAATGTTAATTAAATGCAGGAAAAGCTGCCCCCTACTGATTCACGACTGAGGCCTGATCAAAGATGTCTTGAGAATGGTGAGTATGAGTCAGCAAATGCTGAGAAGTTGAGGTTAGAGCAGAGGCAGCGCCAGGTAAAATGTTTCCCTTTGTCTATCATTAGACAAACAAAGAAATAGTGACTAAAATGACATTTCCGTTTTTAGCAAGGTCCCCCAAATTCTCTCTTCTTTACTTGTTTTTTGTGTTGCACATTTTTTTATTCTCTCTCTCTCTCTCACACACACACCCACCCACAGGTGCACATGTTCATTGAGCTGGGTTGGAATCCCAGCTTGCCCACCCTCAGGAAAAAAGTGAATTGAACTTGTGTTGTTCACTGTTGACAGTTTTGCAGTTGATTTGTCATTTCAGTGGTGCTTTTCTTTATCAAGTATTAACTAATTGCAGGCAAGGAAGATGCAAGAGAGAGGTTGGAAGCCCCAATGGTTCACCAAGGAGAAGGGGAAAGATGCGTATCATTATGTTGGAGGTTACTGGGAAGCAAGGGAACGAGGTGACTGGGGCAACTGCCCCGACATATTCGGTCATTTTCCCTCTGATCAGACCCTTGATTAATTCTTTCGCATGCTTTCATGTTTCTCTTCATGAAATTGTTTGGAAATGCTGCCAACCATTTCTCACACTAAACACGGGGGTAGCCTGCTTATAAGTCGAGCGGGAGATTCAGCACAAGTTACAGAGGTGGCTTCATTCTGCCAGTGTTTTTCTTCTCGTTCTTCTTAGTCTCCCTTTTTGATTTGTGGATATATTTAGAGGGTAGGTTGTTATGTAGCTTTGTTTGCATTTATTTGAATTTAGAAATCTTTTAAGTACTTTTTTTCTCTTAGCCAGCAATTCAATTTTGTACTCTGATTAATTTGAAAGGAAAGTAGATTAATCTGAAGTATGATGAGAAAAATTTCTACCCCGACTCCATTTTTCGAATGGTGTAGAGCATATCATTATCGATAACAGTAACTCATAGAATGCTTCGTTTTTTAAATGGACATTTTGAAGCATTTTAGAGGCAAAACATGAACTCCTAGACATATATGGTCCACCATCATTGCGCATATATGTACTGCATTTTTTTTTTTTATTTCTTTGGCTGCTAGGAAATGCCATTCGGACTGCACTCACTTCAGTAGGAGCCCACATTAGATAAGAAAATAATAATAATAAGGGCTGTATAACATAATATTATTCATTTTTTGTGGAAGGTCACAATCACTGTTGGTCATTATACGTAAAAGTTTACACTTTGAAATGTATAGTAATATTAGGACGAAAAAGTTTATATGGGGTTGCAACCTTAAAATATACAATTAAAATGTAGAACTATATATGTACATGTGAAAAGTTTATATAGAGATGAGGCTCTAAACAATCAAATTTGAACCTACCTCAAAAATTTCACTAGAAGAAGTTGTTTTGATGTCAAAATATCCTCGAATTGATATCTCAAAATCAAGATGCATAGATATGAGAAAAAAAAATGGATTTCAAGTTTGAAAATAGTGTATTTTGTAACACATTTATGGACCGTCAATTTTCAAGATTTTCATAGATCTATCGATCCACTTTATTTTTGAAGCTTTGAACTTTATAAATAAATTGAAGATATAATTTAAGGCTATCACAAAAATTTTTGGTATTGAAATCACATTTTTCGACACTATTTGAAGATAGGCTCTAATTTGATTGTCTAGGGCTTAGGCTCTATACAAACCACACCCCTAATAAAATGTGGAATACTTAACTAGCAGAACAAAGAGAAGTTGAGTGACCCAAAAAAAACAAAACAAAAAATTAGCGCCCCCCACTCCCGCTCCAAATAAAGCTACAAGAAAAATAAGTAGACCTTCAATTTTTGTACCGCCCCATCTAATTTACTGTGGGGCGGCGCTTTTTTTTATTTTTTTTGGGTTTTGTTTTATTAAGGGCCAAAGCAATGTCGGTACGGAATCGGCCGATTCGAACTGAAAATCGATTATCCCCTGTCAATTTTTTTGTAAAACGAAAAATCGTCTGAAAAACTGATGATTCTATACAGTAAATCGCCCGGTTCTTATTCTGTACAGGGGTTAGAAAGACCCACATATTAGGATACATTTGGTTCATAAGAAATCCCTCTCCAAGGGAGATATTTCCCACAAGATGGAAAAAGGGCTTCATACCTCCCCGTGTATGAATCCACTTTCCCAATAAATCTTGCTATATTATATGGTAGTAAGATCCATGAGTACTTTCATACATGTTTTCCCACAGAACAAACATGGAAAAGGCCAAGACTACCTTCCCTAAAGAGAGATTTCCTACCAACCAAATATGCCTTTAATCAATAACTGCTTAACAGATCTTGTACCTTTCAAGAATTTGAGGCATATGGTTGTCACACAACTACCTAAGGGAATGATATCCACTAATCAGCAGCTTTAGCCTAAATCAAATCAAATCTCCAACTGAAGCAAGAACATAATTTGATCTGGGGATTTTACACTATTGTACACGTATCACACCAAAAGTATGATACATGTGATCTCCACAGTCTATTCTCAATAAGTAATGGTGAAGATGAGCCTATTTTCTCCTTGAGCAGACTATGTGTTATCATATCTTAATCTTGACTTGATATCATTTTCCTCAAACATTAGTACATGTGGATTTTAAATGGGTTTGTATGCTGAAATAGAATTGCGTTTCAAACAGTTTACTAGTATATCTTTCTGATGTCCCGACTGAGTTGTTTCGTTCATCCACTGTGTCATTCCTTAGCTCAAGCCGATTCCAAGTGAAGCCAGTCTTGGATGATTCAAATCAGATCTGATTTTTGTCGAGTCTACCCAATCATGCTCAAGTCTTCAATATATCCAGTAAATATTCTTAAAAAATACTGTTTTCCCAAAGCAGGACTTGGTCGAGCTGATTAGAAACTCACCCGAATCAATGGCTTGGTCCTGCCAGTTTCGAACTTTTTAAACACTATTGTTAAGACATCCTACACTACTTAAATATCATATACCAAAAGGTAGGTATCAACAAAGTCTCTGATGAGAGGATCAACACTGTAGTAATGGCCATTGCTACTACCAGTAACCCCGGCATGAGCATGCCCCCTGCTTGAAATGGTGGAACCGTGTTGCATCTCTCACTACAATCTCTCTGCTAGCAACCATAGTTGTAAACTTGATCATCTCATGGCAATCACCACACACGCGAAGATTCTTTATCACCACTATCCTCTCTCCCATCCCTGTGCACATCAAGCCGAACACAACCGCTAACCTCTCACTGTGCACCCCCAAAACCTCCCCTCTTCTCTCTTCCTCAACCCCAAATAAAGCATCAGCTACACTTGTATCCCTCACATACCCAACCTCCTCCAATGCCTTCTCCAATCTCTCAAGCTCCTTGTAAATGGCCTCAGACCGAGGGTGCGAGTGATCATCAGCCATAAACACGTGAACCCGCCTCTCCAACTCTATGTAGCTCAAACCGGGTGGTTTCTTGAGCCCCCTCTCTCTCATCAAAGCTCGGATTTTGGCCACTCCTCTGTGGTCCTTTGCAGAGGCGTATATATTTGACAGAAGAACATAGTAACCCACATTGTTCGGTTCAATCTGGAATACTTGGTTTGCCGCTTTCTCGGCCAGCCTAACATTAAGATGTATCCTACAAGCCCCGAGCAAGGCCCCCCAAACCGCCCCATCAGGTTCTACACGCATGGCCTCGATGAGGGCAATGGCCTCATCAAGCCGACCAGCCCGGCCTAACACATCAACCATGCAGGCATAGTGCTCTAGCCTAGGTTCTATCATATAGTTTTGTTTCATGCTTGCAAAGTAGGCTAGGGCCTTGTCAACTAGGCCTGCGTGGCTACAAGCTGAGAGTACAGCCACGAATGCTGTAGCGTCGGGCCTGATATTGCCCACGACCATCGCGTCGAAGAGGTAGGCACCTTCCGCACCGTGCCCATGCGCACCGTACCCTGAGATGAGTGTGGTCCATGTAACAACTGTGCGAATGGACATCTCATCAAAGTGTGCACGAGCCATGGAAAGGTCGCCACAACGTGCATACATATTGACAATTGCGTTTGACAGAGGGAGGTTGGGCATAAATCTTTTTGTACGCTCGTGGGCCTCGAGCCCAGTGGCGATTGCCCCAAGGTGGGTGCATGCGCTCAAGACACAGACTAAGGTAACAGAGTCAGGCTCAACGCCAATGGCTACCATCTCTTGATATAATTCTAGAGCTCGGTGTGCCTCTCCATTTTGGCAGTAAGCCGACAGCATAGCATTCCAGCCAACTAAATCTCTTTCCAACGTCTCATCAAATACTTGACGAGCGAGCGCGGTATTCCCGCATTTGGCGTACGCAGTCACAAGGCAGTTTGAGACGGAGGGCTCAGAAACTTGCATTCCAACCTTGACATTGCAAGTATGGAGGGCCATGAGAGAGCACAAATGGGCTTGTTGAGTGCACGCAGGGAGGAGGCCAAGCATGGTAGCAGAGTTGAAGTCGGGGCCACAAACACGCATGAGTTTGAAGAGAGATAAAGAATGAGCAAAGGGAGCATTGCGCGCGAGACCGGCAATGAACGCACTCCAAGCAACAACTGTTGGTTGGGGAATTTCGTCGAACAGTTTATAGGCTGATTTGAATGCCGCGAGTTTCACATAGGCAGAGAGGAGGGAGGTGATCACGAAGGTGAAGGAGAGATAGGAGGTTTTGTGGGCGTAGGCGTGAAGCTGGAGAGAGAAAGGGAGGTTAGAGGGAGATGAGGAGCAGGCCTTAAGGGCGGGTGGGAGGACAAAGCGGTCGAGGGGGAGGTCGAGAAGGTGGATGCGGCGGCAAAGTTGCAAGGCGTCAACGAATAGGCCCTGCGATGTGAGTGATTGCAGGTAGGAGGACCACGATGATCGGTTACTGGGCTCTGTAGGTGGGTTCATAGAGTCAGTCCGCTAACCTAAAATCAATGGCCATGATCGCATGAGAGGCCAAATCAACGGCTGAAATCTTCCATGAGTAGTTACAGGTGATGAACTTACTTATGAGATTATCAGTGGTGGGTTTCTTGAATCCGAGGTGTTAGCTTGTACGAATGAGATTGAGGTTAGAATTGGGTCAAAACACTTATTTTAAGCTCTCTCTCTGGTTTCAAAGATTTCTTGGGTTTCTGAAACCTTATTTCCTGATATCGATTTTGGGTTGGATTATCGTTTTGAAGAAGAATTTAAGGAGATGAAGATTGAGTTTTAGATGAAAGATGTTCTGGTTTTCCAAAGTCCCTCAGAGGTTCAAGCGAGAGAACGAACAAGAAAATGGGTATCGAAAAAGAGGGACTGGATTGTAATATGGCAATTGCAGATAGAGAGAAGCCCTTTGTTGTGGAGCTCCATGTTCTTCTCTGCAACTAGAAACTCAACCGGAGAGACTAAGATAGGATAATAAGCTGGATATGAGAGAGAAGCCCTTTGTTGCCGAGGTTCTAAACAATCAAAGGAAAGCGCACCTTCAACTAGAGTCGAAAAATGCGGTTTTATCCTGGATAATCTTTGTGATGGTCTTAAAATAGATTTTGTTCTTTAATTATAAAATTTAAAGTTTAAAAAATAGTGTAAAGTTTCAAAAATAGTGTAGATCGAACATTTATATGAAACTTATAAATCTTGAAAATTGATGGTCAAAAAATGCATTACAAGATGTTAAAATCCATTCTTTTCTTGTCATCTTGATAGAGAGATTATCAATTTGACTATATTTGAGCATCAAAGCAACCTCTCCAAGTGAACTTTTTGAGGTGGGTTCCAATTTGATTCCTTAGAGCCTCAGATCTATGTTATTTTTTTTTTTTTTTTACTTTTTAGTAGAGGGCATAATCGCTCTCCTAGTTAGATTTTAAATCAGGTAGTTAATAAGTTTGTCATTAACTCATTTAATATTAAAAAAAAATTCTTGAACTTCATATCATACCCTAAGCTATCAAAGTTTATAAGAGAGAATGAAAAGAAAGGGTACGTCAGCAAATAGGAGATTTGGGCCCCTACTCTTTCGTGAGAATGGAGTCAAAGATCTCATCATGGGACTTGACAATACTACTGCTAAGATCCTATAACATTCCCATAAGCTATCAAAGTTGACATCCAGCCGTTATGAGTGGCAATAACCTCATTATTAATAAGAGTAATGATCCTATGAGACCGTCTCACGTCCATGTGTGTAGGACCCCAAAGGATTATCATTAAATTATCATAGATCTCTAGAAAAGTTATCACATGGGTGTGAGACTTGATTTTTCTAGCGATCTGTACCAAATTTAATGGTGATCCTTTAAGGTCCTATACACATGGGTGTGGGAGGGTCTCCATTAAATTTGACACAGTTTTTTAGAAAAGTCAAATCTCACATCTAAGTTATAACTTTTTAAAATATCTATACTAAATTTAATAATGATCCTTTGAAATACTACACACATAGTTGTAGGAGGGTATCATAGGATCATTACTCTTATTACTAATAGTAAATAGTCTCTCGGCCCCCAAGTTTTAACGTAGATATTTTTTTGAAAAATTGTTTCCTGCGTATGGATACTTAGTGCATCAGGGGATGCTACTGTAGAAGTGCGTCCAATTGACGCATTTATCTTTTGAGAATCGAAAAGATTATTTGGTTCCCGATAAGATAAGAAAAAAATTCACAAAACAAAAGAAACTCACTGAAACCTTTTAAATATAAATATTAAGATGGACATGAAAAACACACAAAGTGATTTCTTGTGAAAAGAAATTTTTTTTTTTATAAGTTAAAAGTTCGATTGGTCATAAATGAAATTAATGAGCATATAAATACATAATCTTTTTTTTTTTTAAGAAATTTAGTTTTTAGTAATGACTTTTATATAAAAAACAATATCATTTATTTGAAATTTTTATAATCTACAGTGAAAAGCTTAAAACATGTATAATAAAATCATAATTTAGGAAGTAAATAATAAATTAATATAATAATAATTTTATAATCATGCATATAATTATCGATTTTTTTATTTTTGAATGTTAATATCAAAGATTATTAATACTATTAAAAACGTTAACATTGGAAAATAACAAAGAAAAATAAATGAACAATAACATAAAAAACACATGATAGAGTTGGAACATAATTTACTATTGTCTTCTTGCGCAATGTCCCATAATTTAACAATAAAACTTATAAATTAAAATAAAAAGATGGCTAAGAATAAAGCCTACTTAATTTAAATATTGGCTTGGCACTGAGAGATCGTCTAATTAACAAATATCTAATCTTTCCCTGAAATTGTTGTGTGCTACTCCCTTGAAACGGTTTTCAAAACAATGGATCCGGCCGATTAGTCGGTCTTGGCCCAATCCGACTAGTCCGACCCATTCCGACTAGATCGGCCTATTAGTGTCTTGATTTTTTTTGAAAAAATGTAATTTTGGTAAAAATCCCAAAAACTTCAAAAAATCCAAAAAAGTTTGTAAAAAATTATAAGAAATGTTTAAAATTTACATGTATTCTTTTTTTATATTGTGACATAAAAAAACAAAAAGTACATATTATAAGCATAATTGGGTTTCATTAGGCACCTGAAGCAATACTTTTTCAGTGATCAATATATAATAATATATATTAATATTATATATTATATATACTATGTAATCAATATATACTATATAATATAAATTATATTAATAATATAATTATAAATATATAATATATAATATAATATGATATAATATGATATAATATTATAAAATAGTATAATATTTCAACTCAAGACTATGTTTTTTGTTTTGGGTATTTTAGAAATCAATTAAAAATATAGGTAAAATATAAAATTGTTCGTCTATTTGTGACAATTTTGATAAATTTCCATCTCTCTATTTATGTGTCCCTCAGGGGTTGGTGGTGTAGGTATTAGATTGAAGATAAAATTAGGTGAACAACGAATAAATTTTATATCCCCCGAGTTGAGGGACTTACGAGCTTGGCACCTTGTCGCGCCTGAGCAACACTGGTGCATTTGAGTCTACTTGCCCAAAGCGTCAAACCCTGCAGTTAGCAAATAAAAAATTTAGGAAAATTGTTTCATGCGGACTGAACCGCATTTCTACAATATGCAGTCCAGAGGTATAAAGCATCAAGATGGATGCAAATAAGTGGTCCATCTAAAAAAAATTGTAACTAACGGTACAAATGTTTTCTTAGTATAATTATTATTTCTAGTTTTAATTATTTTTTTCATATTCATAATCTTCATGTCAAAGATTATATATTCTCTAAAAATTAGGATCAAATTATATTTAAAAAATATATCTATTGCCAAGCCCACATTTCTACAATATGCAGGCTAGCTGCATAGAAAGAGTGTCCAAAAATTTGTAATAATATATAAAATTTTAAGTAGAGAAATAAGAATAGGGAATAGAAAAAAAAGATAAATATATAAAAAATGTTATAAAGATAGCTTCGCAGACTCTGCACTGTGACAGTACACTTATCGATCGATTTTTAGATCAAATCATCGATTAGTACACTAATTGGCCAATTACTGCCGATTAGTCCAATTAGTCGGCTGATTAGTGTATTGAAAAAAAAATTCTGCATACATGACCGTTGGAATCGGGCCAGATCGGGATCAGCCAGATACCAATCCCAAGTTAGTCAGCCGATTTTTAAAAAATCGGCCGATCTTTTGAACACCGCTTGAAACCCATTGCCGTGAATCTAATTATATCTATGTAATCTTTCTCTAAAACTGTTGCGTGCTACTCCCTTCAAGTCCAGTGCGTGCTACTTCCTTCAAACCATTGCCATGGATCTAATTATATCTCCTTCTATCATAAGCTTATGCGTTTGCATTTTCCAAAATTAATCTTTTTTATAATTATGGAAACTCACATCATCTTCTAAATTAATCTTTTCTTATAATTATGGGAACTCACGTCATCTTCTATTTGAAAGGGAGCTCTGTCAACTCTCCTAAAATACCGAAGTTAGTATAGGTAGGGATTAGATCATCATCTTAACTCCATTATTTTATGATGGTCATTGTAAATCTTATTTTTTCTAAAATGCTCTTGAAATCAATTGCCATGAATTTAGCTTTATCTCCTTCGCTCATGGAGCTCCTAGAAAAAAATGGTACATGCTTCCTTCAAAGTACATTTCTTTTCTTATTATTATGGAAACTAATATCATCTACTATTTCGATGGGAGCTCCCTCCCATATCTCTCCTAAAATATGCACGTGAGTCCCTAAATCTTGAAAATTGAAATAGATTAGAACCATAAACTCTATATTCTATCTTTCTAAGTCCTAAAAAAAAAAAATTTAATTTATTGAATTAGAAAGATGCCTTACCTTAAAATCGTCTATTTCTAGGGTATGTACTCCATTCTACATCTATGCATAGTGTCCTCTTTTATTCACGTGTACACCCCTTTTAACTCTGGCATGGATATAGGTAACTTTACCGCTACATATGCTATGCTCAAGCGAGATCACATTGTACATTTACTTCCTTGTGTGAAGGAGCTACTTGGAGAATTGGATGTTTCAAACTGAAAATTTAGGATTCACTTAACAGTTACCGTATCATGATTTTAAGAAAAATATTAGATTTTGAATTCTTTAAATCTCACGCTAAAAAAATCAAATAGTTTCTGCTCAATCTTTAGATACTAATTTAACATAAACTCCCCGTTCTATTATCAAATTTTAAAACTTCTCTGGTTTGTTTTAGGAGAATTTACGAAAAATTCCCACTTTATTATCAAATTAAAAAAGTGTCATGCATATTTTATATTTTACCTTCAAATCCGATTCTTAGAGTGTATATTGTATTTTCGTTTCTTTTCTTTTTTATACATTGGATTTAGCTCAATTTTGTATTTAATACTTCTTACCATCTCACATTTATAAATAGAGAAAATTATTTAGAAATCCGTTATAGTTTACGTTATTACGGTTACACCAAATAATTTCCGTTATTACACAACTGTCTATTTTTTATCTTCCATAATGCTATTTTAAAAAAAAGACAACTTTATTCCGAAAATCTATTCGGATGTTGAACATCCGAAAATAGCCGCAGATGCAACAATGTAATTTGGCAATTTCAACATCCGAAAGTCTCATAAATTCGGATGTTGAACATTCGAAAATGACTGATAGCTTAACAAAACCTCGCTACTCTCTCTCACCCCATTAAACCCCTCCCCTCCCTTGACTTTTCTCTTCCCTCTTCCCTATTATCGTGCTCTCTCTCGAACGAGAATCAGTTTCGAAGTCTCATCATCTTCAACCTCCTTCATCTTATTCAAGAAGGTAATGTTTTTTATTTTTTTTGCTTGTTTTTCATTCTTTTTTTTATTAGAAATAAATCATTGTGCTCTACTCTGCATCTAATGGTCTTAATGATTCTCTGCATCTAATGGTCCAAATGATTCTCTTTATCATTTTGGGGGTTTTATTTTTTACTATTGGTTTTTTTAATT